GTGACCTTAAACCCTCTCACTCAACTATCAAATGGTTTTACAGAATGGTTGAGATTAGAAGAGACTCCTGGAGACCATCTCAAGGAGACAGTTGGCTTTGGTCACCTTCTGGTCACCTGCTTGAGGGGTGAGGAAAGGGAATTTTAGACTCAAAGTGTAAAGGCAGCCCACAATTGTACATGCTAGAACAAAAGGGAGCTTTGTATAGGAAGGAGCTTTTCTGGTAAAAAAAGAAAAAATGTGGATTTTGATTGTAAAATGTTTTACTGTTAAAGCTTTAAATTACCTCTAAATGGAGCTTGAGACATGGGAAGCCAACGCATGTGAACACACACCTTGACTAGCGGGTGCCTATGCTATGGCTGATTCCTGGATAACTCAGAAACAGGAAAAATGTAAGAATGTTTATTAGTTCAGTTCATTACTAAGAGTAATAATTGTGTCTCAGTAGCCTCTTATTTCTTCCCAAATGTGGTCTAAGAGTTTGGCTTCATGACTGGCTTAATAGCATCAATTTTCTAGCTTGTAAAAATCAAGAATCAAGCACTTTTTGATATTTTGGTAAAAATATTTAAACTTGATTGTTTTTCCAAAAGCAGCTGAAAACATAAATGCATTTGAGGAAACCCTCACATGTCTGTTCTTTAGCTCCATTGGCATTTTCTGATGCAAATGCAGCRAAGGAGTTATCTGCGGGCACTTAGTGGTTACACATGGTTATACATGGGAGAAGAGGAGGTTTCCTTTGTGTTTTTGTATCTTCTCCTGATTGCAGCTCTCAGGTTTTGCTTTTTTATTCCTGGACTAAAACTTTTCCAGAGGCATTGATATGTCTCYAGGGTCACAGCTTCTCTTGGCAGACAGCAAAGCACAATTGCAAAGCAGAATGGTTGTGCCCTTGTTCAGCAACCCATTGCCACGCTCTAAGCTGATGAAAAGTTAGTTAGGGTGATGGCTCTTGCTCTTCTGCTCTTCYAAGAGCACCACCATGCTCCTTTGCCAAGCCCAGGCTCTTTGTAGTTTCAATAAGCCAGGTGAATCCACACGTCTGCCCTGGGGCATTGCTCCTGTATCAGTCCTGTTATATGTTCTGAGCCCTTGTGGAGGCTATTTAGCTGGCAAAGGGGCATCTTCCTCCTGGAGGAGGAAACCAGACTACCAACAAGAGTACCCTTTGCCCTTTTGTTAAAGAAAGGAAGTAAAAGCAGAACAAAAACCCTTCTAAAAATGCCTCTTAACAGCCAGGAAGAATATAGTGCAGCAGAGAGTAGCCTTATGACCCCCGACCCTGCTACAAGCTGTGCAGTTTTAGAAGAGTGTGGTATGTCGTCTGGGGAGCACAGGATTGAAAGTTGGCCTCATCCGCACAAGAGTGACAGTTCTCCATACCCCTGACAGCAGCCATTAAGTCATACGCAGAGAATGATGAAAAGCAGTTCTGAAAAGTGGTGTTGCCATAGACCAGAGCAGTTCAAAGAGCTGTGGGGTTAGACCTATATGTCCTTTATTTATTTTCTGGTGACTCTTTTCCATTACTTTTTCTGGAAGCAAATAGTGCTGTTCTGATCCTGCCAGGCTGCAAGCTGAGCTTGATGCTAAATCTGCTGGAAATGCTGAGTAGAGATGCTGCTTTACCCTCCGTGCAGCAGCATATGGATTGGCTCCTGCAAGAGTTTCCAATAAACATTTTGATGGGCCTGTTTCATCAGCCACATAGGAAGACAATTGTGAAAAGAAAGAAAGAAAGAGAGAGGGAGAATAGGGAAAAGAGGAATGGGAATCAAACCCAACAGTGATCTCAATTCCCTATGCTTCAGTCAAACAACCTCATTAATACTGCCTGTAGTGCATGTACTAGCTCTGTGCTCCCCTCTCTGACAGGTCCCCAAATCACATTCACTGCCATTCATTATGTGCAACGGAATAAAACATTTATTCAAACTCATGTTTTATTTCTGGGAAAATATCTATTTGTGCCAGCTCCAGACATCTCTCTAATTGTAAGCACTTCCAACTCTGGCCCTGGGCCCCAGGCTCACAAGTTGAGTCCTGCTTCTGCTGATGAGAAGGAAGCCACCATGAGGTGTGGCCGCAGTGGGACAGAAATGGGGTTCACCATGTCTCATGGTTGCAGATAACACAGCTTGGTTTGGAAAATGGGGCAGTTCTGGAGCATTCCTGGCTTCTCTCCTAACCCCCCAACCATTTCATTGTCAGAGACTTTGCTTGGTAGTGCAGGGAGGGATATGTTATGCTTAGCTGAAGTTCATAGGAGTTTCCTTTTTGAATTTAGTGAGCTTTATGGCATCACTTGAATTCTGATTTAGGAATAGCAATAATGACAAAGCAGCATCCGCTTTTTGAAATCCCCTCTGTACTCTTGTGACCAGGGCATGCTGTGACTGACCCTGCTTTCTAGGTGAGGAAACCGTGGTTCAGTGGTGCACGTGATTAGCTCAGGATTATTCATTGGGCAACAGGAGGCTGGGCTTTATGACTTTAGCTCTTCCCTGCTTGCTTGACCAAGCTATTTTTTTAACTCCTGAAAACTGCAGTCTTTCTTTTAAAGTGCTGTCTGTGAAAATGAGTGTTGTAGATAAAGCAGTGGGGCTCATTTTAGCAGTGTTTTACCTTTGACAGCCAACCAAAATCAGACACTTTGGGATGAAGCTTTGAGTGCTGAAGGCGGACAGCTGCCCCAGCTCAGGACACCCAAGGTTTGGACTCTGCAGTGGTCCCCCGCCCACTTGAGCTGTTGACCTGTTCTGTAAGTCAGCTTCGTGAAGGTGCAGACGGAGGAAGATTCACTGGAGCCTGGGCACAGATTTGCTGCTCAGAGCCTGCCTGTCACCCAGGGAGTCTTGTTACCAGCCTGGAGGTGCTTTTCAGTGCTTGGCCATGTGCAGGGYCTCTTGTCTAACCTACCCCACGCAGTGAGGATCTGCTTCAACTTGCTGCTCGCCTGTCCTGCTGTTAGAGAATGACATTTTGCTTCTGCAGTAATGGCTATACATAAATCGAATGTCATAGAAGCCATAGCTCTGACTCAGAGATTTAAAGTGTCATATTCCACAGGCAGTATTCCTGGTAAAGACCACACTTCTGTGTGTTGCCTTTGTCACCTAGGACCCAACCCCAAGCAGCCCAGCTATCCGCTTCTGCCTTCACATCTCCTGCAATGTGCCCACCACTGTAGCCACAGCCCAGATAGGCAGTGGCAGCGTTTGGCTCTGGCGTCTCACAAAATGTGTGGGAATGTCCTAAACATTGAATCTCTGAGCTCTGCGTCAAATCTGGCTGAAAATGGGCAGTGCATTTAGGTGATATTAGGAGGCACAGTCTGTAYGTTCTCTAAAGCCTTGTTCCTAAGGAATCCAAGCTAATATATTGCTCAAACCTCTTAAAACTGTTATGCCCAAGTGCACACACTACTTTTCAGCAGGAAGCATAAAAGTAAATTAAGGTTTTAAATCACTAYAGGTCAATTACCAAGTGGCTTCTGCAACCTGTTATCTTTGCTGAACTACTATGCAAGCATGAACATCTAAATCAGTGCTGTTTAACCTGGAGCTCTCAAAAACAGGCCTTATTCACTCCTGAATCTCACAGCTCTGCAATCATCTTGCTTTCAAAGTGCTGTAGGAACAATGAAAAAAAGAAACCAGGGTCATCAGTCACCCATGTTGACCTGAAGCGACTTAAGTACTCAGTAAGCTACTTCAATTCCTAGGATACTTTGTGTATTTTAACCCTCCTGGCATTTGTGATTCTCATCTTTAGAACATCTTCACCACCTTTCATCCTGCTGCTTTCATAACAAATTACTTCCTCCTTGCTTGAAAACTGGAAGTTGAATATTAGCTTAGTTGTGCTTAGGGCCCTATCTAGACTAGACTCACAAAGAAGTCAGTAAAAGTGTGATTACCTCTCATCTGATYATGAAGCAATTACATTTCACATGGCAGATGGGACCTTAAATTTCTGTCCTCATGAACCCCCATAGGAAAGCATGGCTTTGGGCTTTTCTGATCTACAGCAAAACATTGTTTCTAGAAACAGAAATTGCTCAGTTTTGATCCCTAAGGGAAGAATCCATCCCAAATGAAATTAGTCAGCTGTAAAATAGTAGCAAACTTTTGGGAAAGAGATGGCATATGCTATAACAAAAAAACTCGACCCCACAAACACAGCCTTCCCCTATAGACTGATAATGGCTCATTTCAATGTCGAAAATGTAATTGAATTGCTCCTTGCTGCAATTAGGAGAGACTGTCGATGTGCAACTACTAATTGTGTTTTGATACTGCAGACTCCTTGTGCCAGGCTGCAAGCACCATTTTGAGAGAAAAATTAGTTGGTCTTTGCTGCGTATTTTTTCCTCATATTCCCTTCTAAACCAGAATTCCCAGAGATGGGAAGTTGGGGGGGGAACTTCAGAAGCTGTGGAGCTGGGCCATTTCTTTCAGCTGCCTGAGAGGGACATTGCCTCGTTCAACCCCTAGCAGCTCATCCAGCAGAGCTGTGATTGCTCCCTTCTACTCCATTCCAGATGAGGATGGTTAGCAGTGAGATGCTGAATCCTTTGGTGTTGCCGAATTCCCAATGGCACAGGTTAATTGAATGGACATATTTCATTAAACAAAGCCTTTGCCATCTGTTCCATCCCAATTATGAATGCAAAAAAAAGAACATACTTCTCAATTACAGCAGTGTGTGTGGGGAGGAAATATCAGTGGTTTTAAATGCCTTATGAAAAGYCTTTCCATGAGGCAGCCTTACAGCTAAGAAATCTAGTTCCCTTCTTGGGCCCAGTCTTTCAGGCCGCTTATTCTGTCCCTGACATAGGAACTTGGCCTGGCTGTGAAATGGGGGCTTCTGGTTGTCACACAGCATGGAAGGGGAACAGGATGCCCGTTGGCACTGCTTTGCCTGGGACTCAGGCAATGGGGCAAGAGCCTTTGTGATCTGTTGTGTTGCTTTTGCTTGCAGGTGATGGAAATCCCGTGTTTACGCAGTGCTGAATCCCTCTTTTCTTTGAAGGCAAGCATCTTGCAAGTTGAACTAAGGTATGGAGTAAAAGATCTTGAAATTTGTTTACTGCAGATAAGGGCAGATATTATACAGATGAGCAAAACTTGTACTCTGAAATTAGAGAGCCAGTGGTGTAAATTACTGTTTCTGGTCACATTCTGCATCTCCAGCAAAGCGTGTCGTTAGTTACTACTTTATCCATTTGCCTGGCTTGGGAATCGGTGCCCATCAGTCGGGAGAGGCGAGAGGTGGATGCAGCAGCAAATGCCAGATTTTGCAGGAGATGGTTTCCAAGTCGGGAGGCAGTTTGCTGAGACCTTTAGGTGGCAGAACTGGTTTGTTTTGCTGCTCAGCTGTGTTCATCTTTTGTATTCCCATTAATCATTTCCATTCAAATGAAACGTGTAAGTGCGCAACCTGCAGAACTCATTTCATTGAGTGTGTGTGTGTGTGTCTTTAAAAAAATACCGCAGCCAATTCTGTTAAATTATTAGTCCTGTATTTCTCAAATTTACTATCACCCTCAGGTAAAATTGCTGCTGCAACTAAATAAAACTTCTGAAAATGAATTCTAGCTCCTGACAGCCCTTAAGCCCTTGAGGCATTTAAATTCTGGATTTAGCAGCAGGGTTATTACTTCAGTGCAGCAGTTAATGCAGCAGTTAACTGTGTGTTTAAGCAGAGTTGCCCGTAATAGTCAGTCCTGATTCCACAGCACTTCTACAATGAGGACATGGAAATAGCCCYTTTTGTTACACACTTTTAATGCAAGTTGTGGGATCAATCATCTTGCGCTGGTTGAAAGAAATGCTTTAGTTGCAGCCTGAATTACTTTGCTGCATTGTGTATGTATCTCATGTCCTAACTAGGGCCTTCTTGGCAAAAATGGAATGTGTTTTCCTGAACCTAATTCCAGCCACAAGTACTACAAGACTGTACTCTTTGCAAGGGCCAAATTGCATSAATGTTGCTGGTGGTTCTCTGCTTAGGACTGGAAAGCTGTGAGCAACTTCCCCCTCCTCTTCTGGTGAGGATAAACTGAGAAAAGGCTGTTCCTTCCCTTCCCACCTTCCTTCCCTCTTTTCAAATTAGAAATCTAGATAGCTGCGGCAGAGCYAGTGAAATAAATGGTTCTCCTGGTTGTGCTGTTTTCCAGCAAAGTAAATTATGTGTGTGCACACACACAGCGATGCATTTTAATTATCCTCATAAATGATGACGAATGCGCGCTTAGGCATGACTGCGAGCCAGGAACAATGCATTCATTTGCTCACTGTTGCTTTATCTCTTTCTGACCTTAATTTGATTTTCTCTAAGCTGGATGGGTTCATCTGTCAAGCCTGCACCTAACCTAATGGGACCATTCCCATCAGGGAAGCCCCATTCAAGGAAACTCCATGTCATCCATCTGTGCCAGAGGTCTGGCATTACCTCATGTTCTTGCACTCCCTCATTGCTCCTCACCTTCTTGTGCTTCATGAATTTTGTCTGTATTTGCCTTGACGTCTGAGAAGCCAAGAGCTTCTAACACCGTCCCTCCTCTCTGACCATGCAGCAGTGCCCCGGTCCCCTCTGCCAGGGCAAGGACTATGACAGGGCCAGTGTGGTAGGCAGCAAAGTTAGGCAGCAAAATGTCATGCATCCTGTTCATTCCACTACCATCATTTCACTGGCATGCACTTTGGYTGATGAGCTTCTCCTTCAGGAGGTGGCAGAAGGTCATCGTTCTTATTCTGGTCAAGGAACTTGATCTGACTAGCATGACGGTGCAATTATAGGGAATGTTTGGTGTGTTCCTTTGCAAAGCCTTGCTGTGAAAATTCTCCTGGAGACCAGCTCCTGCTGATCTTCCCACCCTAATGTGCACARTGATTCCTCTCACCCGCCGAGAGTGTCATTTCAGAATCATTTAGTCACGGTCTGGGGCTCTGCAGGGTGCTTTTCATTAGGTGGAAGGAAGAGGTGGAAGCAGTTCTGGTAGGGGRGATGCGGTCTGCGAAGAGCGAATGGAGGCTTGGTTTCTGAGCCCTGTTTTGGAGGGATGTCTGCACAGACTTTTTTTAAGGATTGGCTTTAAACAACTGCTCCTTGTGCTCTGGAGTAACTGGAGGATGTGGAATATTAGAATGGCTGTGAGCCTGATTTTATAGAGGCTTGATACGATGGGAGGACAATGGTAATGATACCCCAGCAGTGTCACCATTCCATAGACTTGTGATACTGACATTCCTAACTGTGAAATTAGCCTTAAACTCTGCTCTGGGTTTGCTTTCCATGGCCTGACCTGCCTTGCTTGAGCCTTGCCTGAGCTCACCACCTCTCTGCATCTCCTCCTGCCTTGCCCTCTTCCTCACTCTCCTCTTCCTCTCTCCAGAGCAGGGCTGTTCTTCATAGCTCTTTGCTTGGTGATGGGGAGGAAGAGGAGCCGAATGCCGTGTCCTGGATTTAGGGCTGTCTTCTAGCCCATCCGATCCTTCACAACTGCTCTTCATGGAGAGTTCCCACTGACGGGAACTGCAGCCAAGTTCCCAGCCACAGTGCACAGGCCTGAACTTTAATCTAACAGTTCTCCCTAAAAAGAGATTCTTCACAGAATCCCATTCAGGTTGTAAAGCAGGAGGAGATGCCATAATGCCTCATGCCTTCCAGAGGCTGGACTGACCCATGGGATGCTGGTGTGGGTGCAGTACCACCCAGCTGGCAGGGTGGCCTTCCCACGCTAGCCAGACCCTGGCATTTTTCTGGCTCCTTCCAAGCAGCGCGTTAGCCCCAGCCTTGCCAGACTGCCTCAGAACAAAAGAATGGCAGCTCTCCTTGCTCGCTTGTTTATCTGTTTCAAGGCAAGTGGCAGGGAGCCTGGCGGGATCCAGCTTGCTTCTCAGGAGACAGGGTTAGCAGAAGGTCTGCTCAGATGATGCACTGGGCAGATGGCTCAAGACAACCCCCAGGGCAATGCTGACTAAACAGCGCAAACTGCACTGGGAAGTGGCCAAGCGGAGGTCTGCATGGGAGAGGAGAGAGAAGCAGTGAGACAGGCAGCGCGGTGCCCATCCATGGTCCTTCCCCAGCAGAATGGTGCCTTGCAAGTGCATGATCCATAGCGGGGATGGAGGGAGGTGCTGGGGGGGACACATGCACCATGTGGCCAGTGCTGCTGCCCTCCTTGGCAGGAGGAGCGTCTAGGAGAAGGGGCTCGTGGCACTGGTAGCCTGCGAGCTGCTGCTKCAGCTGGGTGAGTAAACTGGGCTGGAAAGGCTGAGAATGTCCGAGTGCTGGAAAGGGGGTGAAAAGGAGGGTGAAAATCAGGAGTGCTCTTTCACTCTGGAAAGTGAAAGATTGGAGGTGGCCACATGGTTTTAAACATTGCCTGGTAATTGGTTTATTTTCCCCTTTTTCTTTATGTGTGGTTAATATAGCTACTTTTATGAAGCTAAAACTCCTCAGCTTGAGTTATATCTTGCTGGATCCTGATGCTGCAGCACAGTTTTGACTGTAGTCTAACAGATGTTGCCTTATCCATTTGCCTTTTATATTCATGTTCATAGGGAACCAGAGTCATGTACTTTGTCTGTGAAAAGCACAGTTCCAGCAACCTAGTTCCAGCACTAGGCCCAACAGGTTATTGTGCATGCACAYAGGATATCTGCTCAGTGTTCCCGTCTCTGCTAAGTCTGCCTTTGAGAGAGGCACATTTTTCAGTGAAGAGATGGGTTTGTGTGATACATAGAAAGTCCTGTTTCCATCAGTGACAAGGACTGAGCTGGAATTTGAATTGGGAGGGAGATCACTTCCTTTTGCCACCAGCTTGTTCATTCTAAGCTAATCATTTTTGCTTAAAAGAGCCCATGACAGCCTTTTTGGAAAGGCTTACTGTGCAGACTGAAGGAAAAACAGTAGTTGAAAATAATTGAGCTATAGGAACATATAATTTATGAAAGGAAAAACACTATTCTAGTCAGTGTATTAACTCCTGACTTGACTTTTTAATGGCAGTGTTGTAGGTTAATTAGTACGTGTGCTGTAGTTATGCCTAGCAAAGTTATTCACAAGGGATCACGGATCATGGTCTCATTAAGCAGGCCTCCCATAAAGACAATCTTTCTATAAGTAGTTCAATGTCCGTGTGAGTTCATGGAAAATTTTTGGTCCTTATCAGCAGAATAAGTCAGGCTCTGAAGAGAACAGAAATGAAAATACTCCCGAGTAACACAAAACCCACACGCTACGGAAATACTGATTGGATGCGCAAAGTGGAATTATTTTCTCTTGCATCTTCCTACACGTTGTCTTTCTCCGGCTGTTTTAGGACTGAATGAGTTCAGGCAGGGAGCCCTTGCTCATGCTCCTGGTGCTTGTGCACCAGTCAGCAGGGCGATGAGCCGTCTCCGAACAGCGCCGGGTGCTGGTAAAGCTGCTTTAATGTTCCGTGGGCCTTTTACTCTACACTGGTTGAACACGGTGAATATCAAAGGTAATGCAGTGTTTTTCCTTCATAGGGAAGAAAACTGCAGAATGACCTTTTATCTGTGAAAGTGAATGGAAACAGGAGTGTGGATCTGGAATCTAAGAGGCAGAGCAGTCTTACTGAGCTGCTTTCCCTGGCTCAATCTCCTGGTGTAAATCAGAAGGGCAGGCTGAGAAATGCCCTGATCTTCGGGTCCCATTCTCTATGCTTGTATCACACACCTTTTGACACTACGTATATCCTCTCTTTCTTTTTTTCCTTTTTTACCCTGTAGCTCACAACTACCCCATTCTCTGACAGTAACAGGGTAGCTGAGATGTTACAGCAGAGGTTCTTGGTTGTTTCTGGAGCTTCCAGAATGATGGTAGTCCCCACCGAGCTGGCTTGAGGGTCCTTCTTCCTCACTGTCCAGCAGGTTTGGTTCTCAGATAGCTGGAGACCCACAGACACCCACAGAAGCTGGAGCTGGCACTGAATTAGACTTGTAAGCATCATGATCCCCACTGGGGAGGCTTGAGCTTGCACTCCTGCCCTTGCATCTCCAAATTGAGAATGGAATTGGCATCCTCA